AAGCCACGACTGGCGAATTGCTTGGTCCCAATTCATACAAGTTGACCTTTTCGTTGAAGCACCACAAGGGTCATGACGGGGAGGCAACAACGCGCGAAGATGATGATGCATGTCACGTACTAGTACTTGATATTGGATGTCCTACACTGAGTTCACGGGAATCTCGAGCGAGTAGTTAACCACTTAGAGCCACCCAACGTTGTGGAATGTCAGCCACTGACCGAAGCCTCCCGAATGCTTATGCTCGCACCAATACAAATGTTGGCTTTCTTGGATGTCAATGCCCTTCCAATGGCAAGCATCGCAGATAGGATGCACCTGGATGTCGCCTTCCTTTGCACGGAACGATGTGCCGTTGCATGCCACCTTGGGACGGCGATTTCAAGTCGAACTTCGCAACTCCATGAGGAGCTCCGCTATCGGCACGCGGATCGCCAGACAAAATCAATCGACCACCCACATGCAGAGCGAAGTGTAAATATTGAATACGTTAGTTTTCCAATGAACTGTTGGCGACTTAAGCCATTGCTGTGTGTCGAGGAAGCGACGGCAGGACGCGACGAATGATCGAGTCGACAAACCGCTGCAACGTGGGTTTCTGCACCGACCCTTTGATCGACTTTTGGCGCTCCAGTCTCCCGACCGAGACGGTCAGCGACCCTTGCCTCTTCAAAGCCGGCAGCTTGTGGCCTACTGTCTTGCACCACGCCGAGATGCGCTCCATCGACTCGTATAGACGCTCCATGTCGGTCGCGCAGCTGATGCGAATGTACCCGGACGCGGCGGGACCAAAGAACTTCTCCGAACCCGGCACGACGCTGACCTGCGCGTCGTCCCGCAGCCGCTGCACCACCTCCTCCGACGACATCGGCAACGCAGCCGTCATCTTGGCCCACACCAAGAACGTCCCTTGCGGCACCACGCACTCAAAACATCCCGTGCGGTTCAACGCCTCGGCCACCAGCGCCGTCGCACACCACCACTGGAAAGTTTGGTCCCAGTGTTGTTCGATGACCCCGATATGTGCTTGGTCGACTTCTTTTGAAGCTGTTCGAAAACATGTTCAGATCCTCGCAAGGTTTGGTCGATACGATGTCAGCCACTGACTGAAGCCTCCCGAATGCTTACGCTCGCACCAATACAAATGTTGGCTTTCTTGGATGTCAATGCCCTTCCAATGGCAAGCATCGGACGAAACGCAGGTAGGATGCACCTGGATGTCGCCTTCCTTTGCACGGAACGATGTGCCGTTGCATGCCACCTTGGGACGGCGATTTCAAGTCGAACTTCGCAACTCCATGAGGAGCTCCGCTATCGGCACGCGGATCGCCAGACAAAATCAATCGACCACCCACATGCAGAGCGAAGTGTAAATATTGAATACGTTAGTTTTCCAATGAACTGTTGGCGACTTAAGCCATTGCTGTGTGTCGAGGAAGCGACGGCAGGACGCGACGAATGATCGAGTCGACAAACCGCTGCAACGTGGGTTTCTGCACCGACCCTTTGATCGACTTTTGGCGCTCCAGTCTCCCGACCGAGACGGTCAGCGACCCTTGCCTCTTCAAAGCCGGCAGCTTGTGGCCTACTGTCTTGCACCACGCCGAGATGCGCTCCATCGACTCGTATAGACGCTCCATGTCGGTCGCGCAGCTGATGCGAATGTACCCGGACGCGGCGGGACCAAAGAACTTCTCCGAACCCGGCACGACGCTGACCTGCGCGTCGTCCCGCAGCCGCTGCACCACCTCCTCCGACGACATCGGCAACGCAGCCGTCATCTTGGCCCACACCAAGAACGTCCCTTGCGGCACCACGCACTCAAAACATCCCGTGCGGTTCAACGCCTCGGCCACCAGCGCCGTCGCGGCTGGCAATGCGTGGCAAACGCCTGGTTCCATCCCACACGACCACGTTCGACTTCGGCAGCGAGTACTCCCAAGTCGACCATGAACTCGTCTGCTCCCTCCCTGCTCTTTGGTTGTGTTCACACTCGTCTTGCGTACTCTTGGAAGTGTGGTGTTTGTTATCTTCACGTGACTCATGCCGGCGGCAAATAATTTGCTTTGAAGCGATCGTACATCTACGAGGGGTTTGCAAACCCGGCGTTGCTTTGGCAGCCGATTGAGATGAGAGCGGAAAACGGCACTCGAAGTCTAATAGAGTGCAGATGTTCATCACATCTCTGAAAATGGCCTCATTAGACGTGACCGGGTTTTTTGCAAGGCTGGTACTGTAGATTGGCAAATTTCAATACAGGCCATTCCACTTACGGACGCAGATTCAAGACATAGCAATCTCATGCACCCGGATGACTTGGAGGTGCTGGCTGGATCGAAGGTTCCTGGGGCATCCCTCATCAAGCATCGTTTTCTGCGTCCATATCCTGCGAATTGGTAACATAAGTGTTAATTGTGACCTGATACCAGCAGCGAGGCGTACACAACGCAAGCTGTTCATGTTAGGAATTGTGAATGGCCACATAGCTGAGTTATTCACACCTGACACAGGCAAAA